CACCGCTCCAGGTGGAAGCCGTCTTAACCAAGTGACAGAACCTGGCTTGCCCATCATGGGCAAGCACACGTGTGCATCCTGTTTAGATGCTCCAGAAGGACACACCTCGCCAAAAAGGTTTCAGTTCAGTTCAGTTCAGTCCAGATCTAATCATCAGGCTGCAGTCAGACAAATGCAAACCATGGAGCCATCTGCAGGACTCACGGCCTGAGCTTTGCAAAAACCTCAATACCATGAAAAGTAAAAATGAAAACAGTGGTGGGGGTGGGAGTGGGGGCGATGCTGGCTCAGGAGAGAGGAGGGAAATAACCGAGGCCATTTGTGAGCCTTAAGTGGATTCTGGAATTTTTTAAGCTATAGAATCATTGGAAATTCTTAATCATTTTGGAATCATTGGGAAATTTTTAATATCCATTTTATTTATTTCTTCTTTGATCTTTATTACTTCCTTCCTTCTGCTGACTTCTGATTTTGTTTGTTCTTTTTCTAGTTCTTTTATTAGGTGGCAGGCTAGGTTGTTTATATGAGATTTTTCTTTTTTGAAGAATGAGGAACATTTTAATATAGGCTATATATCAGATTGTTGTTGTTGCTAAGTCGTGTCCTACTCTTTGCAATCCCATGGATTTGCAGCCCACCAGGCTCCATGGTCCATGGGATTTTTCCAGGCAAGAATACTGAAATGGGTTGTCATTTCCTTCTCCAGGGGATCTTCCCAACCCAAGGATTGAACCCATGTCTCCTACATTGACAGACAGATTCTTTTCCACTGAGCCACCTATATGGGGTGGTATTGAGTTAATTGCCTTAGTCATGATCCTAGTATTGGGTTATATAAGACAGAATTCTTATTCTCAAAAGATGCTTGTTGCAGTGCTGAGGGGTGACATGCATGAGATCACAACTATCAAATGGTTCGGGAAAAAAGTGTGTGTGAGAAGAAGGGGGAGAATACGTGAAGGAGGGGGAGGGGAGGCAGTGCCTGCAGACGGGACAGATGTGAACCGTAAGTAGGATGAAGGGTAACAGGTGTTTGCTACTGTTCTAAGTTTTTACAACTTTTCTGATGTCTGAAAGTTCTCAAAATAATAAGTTGTAGAGAAGACTGTCCACACTTGGAGTCTCCTGACCCTCTAGGTTCCCTGTCGTCCCTCAGCTCAGCCTGCAAAGGGTGAGAGCTGGGACTGACTCAGCATCTCTCCTCTTGAGCTCAGAGCATGTCTTCTGTTTGCTTCTGTGAGAAAGTATGAACAGGCCTTTGTGAGCCCTCCGTGCTGTGTCTCCAGGTGTAAATCAGGTAGTTTGTTCAAGGTCACACGTAGATCCAGTCGGCATGCAGGAGACGGGAGGGACCCAGCCTTCAGACTCACAGCCTGGACCCCGAGCCACACCCCCACAGCTGCCCCTCCCGTCCCTCTTGAGCCTGGTGTGTTGTCACACGGTTTCTGAATAATCCCGGGGAGTGGGGGGCATGCCTGCCTGCCTGCCTCAGAGGTGCGGGAGCCCAGCGCAGCCTGGGAGTCACAGCATCCCCACTGGGATGTCATGTCCTCGGGGATTGGCTGCCTGGCAGATGCAGTGGCTCCTGATTGGATGGTGGCAGCTGCAGAGCAAGGAGGTGGGCTCTGGGCACGTTGGCTGTGCCCCTGAACTGTGTCCTGAATGCTAAGCAGGGGGCTTGGGGGAACCTCACCAATCCTTTGTCCCCCTGGGGCAGCCAAGGTGCTGACCTCCCCGGGAGGAATGAGACAAGCACGGATCGTGGCTTGTGGTTCTTTTCCTCATAAGTGGGCATCAGAGCATGGGCAGGGCCCGGCTGTGAGCCGAGGAGCTCACTTCTGACGCTGAGGGACCTGACCTTCCAAAGTCCGGGCTAGGGGTAAGGAGTGGGGCGCCTCCCTCCTGACCACTGCCACCTGTGGCTGCCGTGAGCGCCCCTACTGGACAAAGCGGGCATTGCAACCCCAGAGAAGACTGCCCTGCCGCCTGCTCCTCAGGCCCCAGTCCCTAGCCCTCCCCCTATCCGAGGTGTGCCAGGCACAGCTGTGAACCCAGCAGACAAAACTCCCTGCATCCATGGAGCTGACATATCGGGGTCATAAATGAGACAGCAAGTGAAATATAAGATGCGCTGGAAGGTGACAGGTGCCAAGGAAGGGTTAAGATCGTGTCCAGAGAAGGGGCTTCCCAGGTGGCTCAGTGGTAAAGAATCTGCCTGCAGTGCAGGAGACTCCACAGATGCAGGTTCATTCCCTGGGTTGGGAAGATCCCCTGGAGAAGGAAATGGCAACCCACTCCAGTATTCTTGCCTGGAACATTCCATGGACAGAGGAGCCTGGTGGGCTACAGGCCATGGGGTTGCAGAGTTGGGACAACACTGAGAAACTGAGCATGCATGCATACACATCCAGAGATGATAATGTGACCTCTGTATCAGGAGGTGAAGGCCAGGGTCCCTCAGGTGGGTCTGGGGTCAGAGAGCTTGGACAGAAGGAAGAGCAGGTGTGGACACCCTGAGGTTGAAGTGTCTGTGGGGTTCACGGGACCCTATGGAGCCCATATATCTGTGGCAGTGAGCAAAGAGGCAGGAGGCGGGGTGGGATGTCAAGAGACGTCGTGGCTCAGGCAGAGGCCACTGTTGAGCCCGAGGCTTTCACTCTGGATAGAAGGGAAACCACTGGAAGGACTGAGTGGAGTAGCATGATCTGCACCCCTCCCCCCTCAGTGGGCTGGGGTCAGGGAAAGGGCATTCATACCATGCAAGCTAAGTCACTTCAGTCATGTCTGACTCTGCAACCCCATGCGCTGTAACCGGCCAGAGTCCTCTGTCCATGAGATTTCCCAGGCAAGAATACTGGAGCAGGTAGCCATTTCCTCCTCCAGGGGATCTTCCCTACCCAGGGATCAAACTCCAGTCTCTTGCATCTCCTGCATTGGCAAGTAAATTCTTTACCACTAGTGCCACCTGGGAAGCCCCAGGGAAAGTGAATTATCCAGTATGACACTGGCTGACCGCGGTGTTACTTCCTGGCCTGGGGAAAACAGCCCAGACCCCAAGTCCACAGATTGGCTCTAGTCCCCCCATCTCTACAGAGTTTGGGCAACAGAGAAGTACTCCCAGGAACTCAGGAAAGCAGTCAGGGAGGGGTGGGGTAGGAGTGTGGAGGGATGGAGTGGAATCTTCACCGGCACTGAACCGGATCTCAGGCTCATCTGAGCCCCCGTGGGTTTGTCTCTTTGTCTGATGCATACGTGTGTGCTCAGTCAGTCGTGTGTGACTCTTTGCGACTCCATAGACTGTAGCCCGCCAGGCTCCTCGGTGCATGGAAATCTCCAGGCAAGAATACTGGAGTGGATAGCCATTCTCTTCTCCAGGAGATCTTCCCAGCCCAGGGATCGAACTTGTGTCTCCTGCATTGGCAGGTGGATTCTTGACTGCTGAGTCAACAGGGAAGCCCTGTCTATCTGACGAAGGGCATACAGATGCCCAAGGAACCAGGCTTCAGGATCACAGAGCATCTTGACCATACCTGACTGGTCTTTTTTAACCAGCTCCCCTCTTTCTCTGCTCTCCCTTCAGAACCTCGCCTCCGTGAAGACGGGAGCGCATCAGGACGAGTAAGGCCGGCTCCATGTATCCGGAATCAACCACGGGCTCCCCAGCTCGGCTCTCCCTGCGGCAGACGGGCTCCCCCGGCATGATCTACAGGTGACCCCCCTGTGCCATCCCCCAATCCCCTCCAGGATCAGTCCTGCCTCTGAGGAGGGGTCCCCACGCGAGCCACCTCCCCATGACCCAGAGAGAAGGGACTAAGTGAACCCACAGGGCTGTAAGTTGCATGCAAGCCAGCCATTTCTCCATGGTACCCCATGAGCAATAGCCCACCAGGCTCCTCTGTCCATGGGATTTTCCAGGTAAAAATACTGGAGTAGGTTGCCATTCCTTCTCCAGGGGATCTTCCAGACCCAGGGATCAAACCTGGGTTTCCTGCATTGTAAGCAGATGCTTTACCATCTGAGCCACCAGGGAAGCCTTTAAGACCAAAATGGGAAAGAAAAATGTGAGAGGTTTGACCAGGTGGGATAGAGCCAGGATTAGACTCCTGCCTTGTCTCTGACTCTTCTGAAATATTCCGTGGGAGGTAACAGAGGCCCTTCCTGGATTCCGTTTCTCCTTTACACGTCATGGCTCCTGTGGTCCCATCATCTTCCCCGATACCCTGAACGAGGCTCAAAGCCTTATAGCCAGTGTGGAGCCTGTGGACAGTGGGGGCGGCCAGGTGCTCACTGGACCCATGAGAACTTCTCCTGGAAAGGCCACTTCCAGATCCAGCCCTGGGTCTTTCCGTTTAGAAAATAGCCCAGGCTGAACCACAGGGAGGCTGTGGGGAAGGTGTGGGGTGGAGCCGCTGGCTCCATGGTCAGAGCACAGACCCTGATGGCGCTGCTGGCACAGAAGACTGGGGTGTGAGTGGAACCCGGGGGGCTCATCAGTCCTTCAGCTGCTGGATCTCAGGTCACTGTCAGGGCCTGAGCCAGAGTAAATGTCTCAAAAACCATGGGGAACAGGGGCATCTCTCCTTCATCGAGATCCTAAAAAGAACCCCATGGTCACGTGCAGACTTGCCAGCAGGTGGATGTGGGCATTTCCTGGTTTGAGTGTTTTCAATCGTTGTTATAAAGCATGATTCGTGAAAATCCAAACAAAGACGCCCCCAGAGGTTAACCTCTAGGCTTCACTTCCCAGCCTGAAGTGAGAACCAGGCCAGGTAGAGACCCCCGTGTCCAAATAAACGGGCCTCTGCCTCCCTGTGCCACTGGGTGGCGCTGCCGCCGAGCGCTCGGTACCCAAGCGGAGGGGGGCGGGGCCGGGGTTGCGGGGCGTCGGTGATGCTTCCCGGGCTGGCACCTCCCTGTGCATGGCTGATGACAACTGTGGCTTCTCTCTCTTCTCTCCCTGTCTCCTTCTCTCTCCTCCATTGCTGTCCGCAGTACTCGGTATGGGAGCCCCAAAAGACAGCTCCAGTTTTACAGGTAACGAGCTTCTCCGTTTCCCCTAAAACCAGCGGCAAGCACGGGAGCGGGTGGGAGGACCCGGCCATCCGGGCCGCGGGCGCTGGTGATTTCTCTGCGCGTGAAAATCCTCCCTGTGAGGCTCAGGCTCTGGTCCTCTCTCGGTGTTGCGACGGCATCATGATGAAACCGTGCAGTCGGGCTTGTCGTGTGGGTTCATCTGGAACTTGCTTTGATTTGAGCTGGACTCCCGCCAGATCTCTCTTAAAACCTCGCTCCTCCGGCAGCAGATCGAGTCCTTTCCTGTGATCCCAGCTTTGTGCTCTTGGGTGGTCAAAGTGAAAGACTTGCCCCCAGCCCCTCATTCTCCCCCTCGTCCTTGGTTCTGAGCTGATTTGCAGTCTGCAGAGCTCCCTGGGGTGTGTGGCTCCGTCGGGACCTGGGTCAGGGTGGGGTTGGATGTGCTGGCTTCTTTCTAATTATTTCTCTGATGAAAGTCAGCACACCCGTGTCCCCAGGGGGAGAGGCTGTCAGCAGACGGACAGGCTTGCAGTCCAGCCTGAGGCATGTCCCATCAGCAGAATCCTCTGGGACAGATCCCTGTCTCCCTCTGTGCAGCCTCTTCCTAACCTCTAGGGTAAGGCATGCACCACGAACACACATGCTCTTGAAAATCTTTAACTCCAGGAATTTACTTCGACATTTTCCTCCATGGGGAACATGTCAGGCTTATGGAACTCACAGGGCAGCGCCGCCAGCTTTGGGACTGGACACGCAGTGGGCGGGGCTCTGTCTGTGGTGCATCGTGGCCTCCAGGCCTGAGAAGTCTCTGTCCAGAGCCAGCTCCCTGGTGTGTGCACCCCAATGGTGACAGAGCCATGCCATCTTATTGGTGATGCACCAGGGGTCTTGCTTGGGCAGTGGGTGCACCCCCGCAGTGACAGAGCCGAGGTATCTTATTGCCAATGCGCCAGGGGTCTTGCTCGGGCAGTGGGTCTGAAGGTCGGCACTGGACTTCGTGTGATTCTTCCTTCATACAGTCTTGGGCCTGGGACTGAACGTGACTATGGGTCTGGGTCCTCAGGCTCGTTTTCCCACTCATGCTTCGGTGCCTCCCATGAGATCTCTCCCCTTAAAGAGAACTCTAAAGCAAGGTCGAAATCTGATTCTGCTGGAGGTTTGGCTAGATAAGGTCTTGCTCGAAATAGTTAGGGCCGAACTTATTAGGTTTGCAAATGCCCTTACTGGATACAAGTGTTTATCATCATATACATATGTATGTGTATGTGTGTTGTGTATATGTGTATGTGTATTTGTATGTGTGTACATGTGTTGTGTGTGTATGTGTGTGGGGATGTGGGTATGCGTGTGTGTATATGTGTATATTGTGTATGTGTGTGTGTGCATGTATGTATGACGTAATATGCCAGAATGAACGTGTGCCATCCGTCCAGAAGGATTCAACCAGTGAAACCAGACATGCACTTAAACAGTATCCTTAGATGCTGTTCTGAGGCCTGCCTCACTCCCAGAAGGAAAGGAGTAAGGTGAGATGACGATAGCAGGTCAGGCCAGCAGCTGAAAGGGCTCATAGGAAGTTCCCAGTAAGTCGAGTGGAAATGAAAGGGTGCCCCACGCCCCTTGCTAACCCCAGAACCCCCCAGATCCACCCTTTTGTCCACCCTCTGGGGACCCTTCTGGGTGAGCATCTGATCCCTGTGAGGCCTTCTTGCCCCGAGGAAGGGCTGTGTGGGGGAATTGAATCCCCGAATCTGAAGACACCCCCCACCCCACTCCCTGCTCAGCCTCTCAGCTCCACATTCAACACCCCAGGCTCTGGCCTTCCTGCCCTTTGAGGCTCCAGTGTGGTTACTTCTCAGAGACACTTAGGCGTCTCTTGCAGGGCCTCTGGTGATGACCTTAATGGGGTGTGATCATCCAGCATACTGGGTGCCACTCCCAGTGGGATATCCTCATCACCCAGCTCTGACATGGCTGGGGGATGGTTATTTAAGTCAGCCAGAAGGGTGGCACCCCTCCTCCAACAGGGCATAGTGTCCAAGGCCCTGCCCTCCAGCAACTCACAGACAGGTAAGAGGGAAGACCGTGTACCTGTCAGCTCGTACACAGGAGGCTGCATAACAAACTACCCCAAGACTCAGGGGCTTATGTGTCTGTGGGTTGACTGAAGTCAGTTCATCTAGGCTGGACTCAGCCGGATTGGTCTCTGAGCTTCAGGCTGAAGGCAGGGTTCACCCTCTCTCCATCCTTCCTAACCAGGGGCCATCCCAGGTCTCTTCTCATGGCAGAAGTGCCAGAGGAAAAATGTCTCTGAAGGCCAATGGTTAGAATAGGCACAGTCACTGCTGCTCATTCTTTGGGTCAAAGCAAGCTCATGACCAAGCCCAATGTCAAGGGGAAAGTATACTCCCCCCACCCAGGGGAGAATCACAGTCACGTGATACAGAGAAGGGAAAAGGATGGGCCACAGTCACGTGATACAGGGAAGGGGGAAAGGATGGGCCACAGTCACGTGATACAGGGAAGGGGGAAAGGATGGGCCACAGTCACATGATACAGGGAAGGGGGAAAGGATGGGCCACAGTAGTGCAATCTTGCTGTTCCTGTTGTTCAGTTGCTAAGTCGTGTCCAACTCTTTGCGACCCCATGGACTGCAGCACACCAGGCTTCTCTGTCCTCCTCTATCTCCCAGAGTTTGCTCAAACTCATGTCCATTGACTCAGTGATACTATCTAACCATCTCATCCTCTGCGCTGTGCTGTGCTTAGCCACTCAGTCATGTCCAACTCTTTGGGACCCCATGGGCTGTATCCCACCGGGCTCCTCTGTCCATGGGGATTCTCCAGGCAAGAATACTGGAGTGAGTTGCCATGCCCTCCTCCAGAGGATCTTCCCAACTCAGGGATCGAACCCAGGTCTCCTGCATTACAGGTGGATTATTTACCATCTGAGCCACCAGGGGAGCCCAAGAATACTGGAGTGGGTAGCCTATCCATTCTCCAGGGGATCTTCCCGGTCCAGGAATCGAACCGGGGTCTCCTGTACTGCAGGCGGATTCTTTACCAGCTGAGCTACCAGGGAAGCCTTCTCATCCTCTCCTGCCCCTTTTATGACATTGTTGCACTGCAAGGAGATCAAACCAGTCAATCCTAAAGGAAATCAGCCCTGAATATTCATTAGAAGGACTGATGCTGACTACAATCTACCCCAAACCTAAGTCACTCTAATAGCATCTAGGAGGCAAACGGGTCTTGGGAGAGTCCAGAGAGCTGTTGGAGATTCAAGGATGGAGTGAGTGGTCAGCTGGCTGAGAGTCAGGGAAGGTGTCATAGAGCCTGTGAGCTGGACCTTATTCAGGCTGGACAGAATTCAACACACACACCAGTAAGAACATTCCAGTAGAGGGGACAGTCTGAACACAGCTCAGAGAGGTACCCAGAGAACAGAAAGTGGCAGTCACATCATCTGGGCCTTCAGGGACAGGACAGGAAAGAGAGTGACCAGAGGCCAGGCTAGAGAGGCCGACGGGGATCTGAGGATGGAGGGCCAAGAATGCCAATCAGAGGAGCTTGACTGCCTTTGATGGGCACTGGGGAGACATCGATGGTGTTAGAGCAGGGCAGGGGGCAGGGCTCTGCTGCAAGAAGGAAGCATAGGAGCAGGGGATGAGATGGGGGGAATGCGGAGGCTGGATGTGGGAGCCAAGAGAGGTGAAGAAGGGCTGAACCATTGGGACCATGGGAGGACGGAGCGGAGGTTATGAGGAGCCAGGTCCACAGGGCTTGGTGTCCGAGGGCAAGCGTGGAGAAGGACAATGTGATGAGAGGGAAATGGTGCCCAGGGGAAGGAGATGGGCCCCATTCCAAGCAGGTCAGGCTAATGACCACCACCCAGCAGTGAGGCCACAGTGGCCACTTCCAGCCTGGGCATGACATGTGACACAGAGGCCACGGAACTGACTGTGGGCTTCGGCCTTTAAGAACCATCCCAGGGGCTTCCCTGGTGGTCCGGTGGTTAGGACTCTGTGCTTCCACTACAGGGAGTATGGGTTCAGTCCCTAGTCAGGAAACTAAGATCCCGTAAGCTGCATGGTGTGGCCAAAACAAACAAAAATCTAAAGAAAAAAGAGAGAAGGAACCATCCCAGGTCCATCATGAAGGCCTTTCCAGATCATCCCCCACTACCAGTTACCTCTACTTCCTCATCCTCCCCCAGCCTCACATTCTTTCCACTCCAGATCTGGGGGTGTGATCCCCTCACTCCTTGCAGCCACCCCCATTAGCAGGTGTGTCACGAGGTGATCAGCTCGGCCTCTGTCCAGAATCCCATGCCACTGGCACGATTTCTCAGCTGGAAGATAGTGTCATACTGAGTCTTTGGGGGGCAGGGGTCCCAGGATGACATGAAGGGCCCCTGTGGCCATGAGCCCAGAACAGGGACTCAGCATAGATCACCCCCAGGCTCAGCCACAGCATCTTCTGAACCCCAGCTTAGGACAGTGAGGAAGGGTCTCCGTGTGATGTCTTCACAGCGAACTGCAGAAACCTTCTGTCCATATATAGGTCCTGGCAGCATAGGACATACAATCTGGGGCGCGTCCCGGCAGAGGGAGGCAGGGTGTCCATCTGTGTGTGCTGAGGGCCTGTCTTGCCAGACCCTCACCCATTCACTGTGGGTGGTGGTCTTATGCTATGGGCCCCTGGGCCCCCCCACTTGCAGACAGTTAAGAACGTGGTGGAAAGAAAGCCAACCAGCCTGGATCCCTTCCTCAAAGACCAGAAAGCCCAGCCTGCGCCTCCTCCCAGGGTCCAGTCTCTCCAGGCAGGGGAGCATGCGTCCAAGGGAATGGCAGGACCCCAGCCGGTTCCCCCTCCCAGCCAGGACGCGGAGGCTGCCTTGCCAGATTGCACTACGGAACCGCACTTCCCGGGCTTTTAGGGGAAGAGGCGTACTCGTGAATAATTCAGCCTCTCTCACTGAGATGCAGACGCCCTAATAGGACTAATGGACTCACTGCCTCCAAACCCGACCCTTGTGGGACCTCTCATTCACCGACTGCTTCTGACGTCCTGCAGTGACACTCCCTAATGAAAGAGCTGCCGCACTAGCTCCGTACACGCCTGGTGAACCCTAGTAAATCAGACTGTGTCCCTTTTAACCAGCAGACGCCAGCGAGGCAGGTGAGTGGTCCCTTCAGCTCAGGAGGCAACTGGCAGCCGCCTCCTTGGTGGGGGGGAGATGCTGCTGCGGGAGAGGCACCTGGGAATGGACAGCATTTGGGGATTCGTTTGGCTGATCTGAAATGAGACCCTCTATATATTTTCAAAGTGGGAAACCTCAGAAAGAAAGCCTCCTAGGTAACCACAGGAGTAAGGAGGGTGGGCGTTCTGCTGCTTAAGCCAGCTTGCCTCCCAGCCCTGCCTCTGCCCATCTGGGGGACCTGGACTCCACCTGGTACCCCGTCAGGTTCCCCATTAAGACCCAGCATTTTTTAGTTTCCCCAAGAATGATGGCAACAGGAGGCTGGGTGCTGTCTGAAAGGTTTGTTTGGAATCACAGGCCTGAGAGAGCTGGGGGCTGTTTCTTTGGGCCTTGGCTTACTGATGGTTCTCGAGCAAAAATGATTTTGTGTTTCCCCTGATGCAATGCCCTGCATTTTCGAGCCGTGCCCCGGAATGATGCCCCTGCCTCCATGTGCGCCCGCTTTGGGAACTCTGGCCGGTTTCTCTGGTGACCAGACACATGTTGCCGTTTCAAAGAGACCTTCCAGGTTCCCTCTGGATCCCACATCTCGGGCTTTGGTGGCTCCCAGTAAACAGATCTCGGTTCAGGAATCCCAGGTGGAAGGCTGTTCAGCAAGGTTGCGATTCCCGCGGCTTAATGAGGTTAATGTCTTCTTTCCATTTTTCTGTGTCACGGGGTCCCTTCACATGAATTCCCCAGGTCCCCATCCACAGGAACAGATTTGCAAAAGGCAGGCCCCAGTGCAGAAGGGACCCTGTAGGGTCTTTAATTAGCAATGGTTGTTAAGGAAAGCTAATTCTTCTTGAGGTGAGTGGGCAGGGTGGCAAAGAGGAGGAGAGAGAGGGGGTCACTGAGAAATCAGGTGGCCGAGGGAGGAGTTCCAACAAGGGGAGTCTTCCCGGGGCCCCTCATCTGAGCACCCAGCCCTGCGTGCCTGCGGAGGAGCCAGCTTATTTCCCTGTCCTCTCCCTGGGCAGCACTGTCACCGCCAGAGTCCCTCTGTGTCTTGCCTCCCTCAAGGACCTTAGGACGAGGAAGGTGTCCCAGCTCCACCATCCTCACTGTGCTCTGCCCCTGGGCCACAGACCCCCTTGTGAGAACTGCAGCCTTGCCCTCCACCCCAGGCCAGGGGCCACCGTGCCTACCCACAGCCCACGTCTCCTCCCACAAGTCCCCTGACCTGAGCCTGCCCTGTGCCGGGGGGACCCCTTCACCCAGCGGCAGGCTCTGGGCTCCCTCTGTGTAGCTGGTGGCCCACTATAACACAAGATAGGAGAGATGACAGGCAGGGGAGACCCCAGTCCCCACAGAGATAGTTGTTATTCAGTCTCTAAGTCATATCTGACTCTTTGCAACCCCATGGACTACGGCATACTAGGTTTCCCCTGTCCTTCACTATCTCCCAGACATGATTGCCAGGTAGCACTAGTGGTAAGGAACCCCACTGCCAATACAGGAGACCTAAGAGACATGGGTTCAATCCCTGAGTCAGGAAGAGTCCCCGGAGGAGGGAATGGCAACTCACTCCAGTACTCTAGCCTGGAGAAGCTCATGGACAGAGGAGCCTGGTGGTCCAGAGTCCATGGGGTCACAAAGAGTCAGATATGACTCTTTAGCAATTTAGCATGCATGAGATTTAGCTTGCACGAGAACCCTACAGAGAGGCTCCCTCCAATTCCTGGCAGCACCCACCAAGTTTGTCTCATTAGGAATGTGTGACTCTGCAAGACCAGGGGCAATGGATAGAGTTTACATTTCGTCCTGCATGGCCCCGAGAACCACTCAGGCCCGTGGTGAGGCTCCTGCCTGCTGGCCCATCTCCCCTCCACCCTGTCTTGTGTATTTTTGTGCCCACGCCACTTATCATGACTGGTACCACCTTCCACGTCTCATGGTTGGCAGCCACCTCCCACACACAGCACTCTCCCACCGCAAGGCCAGCCCCTGTCCAGTTATCCAGGATGGTTCCATTTCGCCCACAGCAGCCCACACAATAGGCCTCTGCCTGTCCCACTTCACAGATGTGGAAACTGAGGCTCAGAGTGGTCCAGGTACCTGCCTGGGTCACACCAAGCAGGTGACACACAGGGCTGCCCCTGCCCATAACTGGGCCACTCAGCCACACGGTTACTGCAGCCCTGAGGCTGTGGCTAGATTTCTGGAGCCAGACCAGGATGGCTTTTTGCGGGTAATGTCTTGAAAGCTAATGGCTATTGATCTCAGCCTGGCTGGGCTGGGCTGGGAACGTGTGTGTCTGAGTTTAACCCTGTTTTTCGGGAGGTGCCCTGCAGCTGCTCCCCACCCAGCTGGTCTCTCTGAACACAGACCCTCAGGGAAGCCAGGAGTGGTCTGCTTTTGCCCCTCACTGGCCACGAGTCACAGTCTACACAGCTGCCTCTGAAGCAGCTGCTTGACGGGTTGTGGGCAGCGTGCGTGTGGAGGGGGGAGGGAGTTGGTGCTGCCCACCCCAAGGGCTTCCGAGGTGCCATTTCCTGGGTCACCACCCCCCACACCTCGAGCCTGGGGCCCCTCTGTTGCCGGCAATGTGATTCTCCGGAAAAGTGGGGATTTTTGCGTTGGGGTGTGCCTGCCGGCAGAAGCACCCATCAGAGAGACCTTAGTCTAAACCCTGTGGGAATCCAGGGGTTCCAGACCTTGTAGCCCCCTCCCCGTGGGTCTGAACCATGGTGATGCAAGTCCTGGCCAGGAGAAGGCAGCCTGTAGAGAGCTTGGCCTGATCACGGGCCAGCCCAGCCCCTCCCCGTCAGCTGGGCCAGCCCAGTTCCTGCTCTAGGTGCTGAGCGTGCATGCGCACAGTAGTGAAAGTGGACAGAAGAGTCCCTTTCTTCTTGGACCTGACTTTCAGGAGGATCAGCTCAGCAAACAAGGTGATAGAGATACCTGTGGTCTGTCAGGTGATGACACCTGCCATGGAGAAGGGGCATTGAAGTGTCAGGTGGGGGTGGGGAGCTCACACAAGGAAGGACCAGCCCAGGCGGCTCCAGCACCATCTCCACCCTCAGGGACTCTGCAGCTGTCTCAGGCCCCAGGATAGCCCCCAGCCCTTCCCAGGATAATGGAGCTTGTTCTCCCTTGGGGCACAGGTGGGGACAGAGCTGGTCCCTCCACCTCCCGGGCTGGCCCAGCTGACCCAGCTGAAAAGGTGAATCTCTCCTGACTCAGTGATGGTGACAATACTGGGGTCCCTGTGCAGGCATCTGGGCTGGGGTGGAGGTCCATGGTCGGTGTGGGGGGGAGAAGGGCATCCCTGGACTGTAGCATAGCCCCTGCCTCCTGTGACCATGTCCATGTTGCCCAGTCAAAGCCCCTGTAGGATGTTAACGTGCAACCATGGTGCAGCCCTTCACTGATCCGTTCACATGTGTGTGTGCATTGACACAGGGCAGCATTCCGTGCACACATGTGTTCCCCTCACCTAGTCTTTCTTGACTCTGCCTCCTGGGGCTCATTGCCTATCAGTTCACGCAGAGACACCTCACTCCTGAAGGCTGCACAGATTTCCATTCTATGGATGGACCATCATGTACATAGCCAGTTTCCCTGTTGATGGACACTTAACGTTTTTAGTTTCTGAGTATAATCATCCCTTCAGGTGACGATTTAGCAGTGGGTTTTAACATTTAAGCTTTGCAATTTCCCAACCTTTTCCCTCCCCCTGCCCCCGCCTCACTCCCTCCTTAAATGCATCCGCTCAGTTTTTCTGTTGCAAAATCTGAACTGTGACATAATTCTTTTGCGCATGGAGCCAAAGAACTGCGCTGGCGCAGTGGCGCTTTCTACAAGCAGAGAATGCCAGTGTGGATAGCACTGCTTTCACCAGTCTGTGAACAAGTAGGGCCTTCCCCGGGGGTGCGACACCCCCGGCAAAATTACACGAGAGCTTGCTTCAGCGACAGGTGTGCTTACGCTGCTTCCGAGTTGGCCCTGTAGCTGATTTTACCTAGGGAACAACTCCTGGGGCGCCGTAAAGTCCTCCGCTCTGGGGGCCGGGCTCTCTGCATGCTCCTGTCCTGTTCTCATCTGGAGCGCTCTTTTGACATCGCCCACCTAGAACACAGCTTCACCCGTACTTGTCTCATGGGTGCAGGGGACAGAGGGGGTGGCTCAGCCAGAGTTCCCCGCCAGCGCAGCTTTGAGGACCAAGAACCTCATGTCAAGAGGTGCTTACATCCCGGGGCCGGGTCCCCAGGGCCCAGGACCCCTGGGCGGCCGCTCTAGCTGGAGAATGTGTCTCTGCCGCCACCCCTACCCCCAGGGCCAGCGTCCAACCCGGGGAACCAAGGTTGGCATAGCTCTCTAACCCATCACCACTGGGCGTTTCCCATCCGGACAGCAGCGGCTCCCGGGCCGGGTGGGACCATGTTGTCCATGACGTACAGCGAGAGCCTGAGGAGCGTGAGCAGCAGGTGTCACTCGGACTGGGCCCTGCACCCCGTCCGCCAGACCGACACGCTGGAGCTGCAGCGGCTGCGGGAGGTGCGGGCGGCCGCCCAGGCCAGGAACATGGAGAGCTTCCTGCGCATGCACGGCCTCTCCCTGGAGGGCTGCACCGCCCGGCGCACTGGCATGAAGTACCGGTAAGGGCCCAGGCGGGGCGCTGGGCGGGGGCAGGAGGTCCCCTGGACGAGGCAAGGGCTCCGGCGAAAGGGGTGCAGCCCAGGAAACGGGGTAACCACTTTGTTGTCAACCAAGGTAAATTCTTGGGGTTTAAGAATACTGACCGTAGGATGTCCCTTGGCGGTTCAGTGGTTAGGTCTCCGAGCTTCCACTATGGGGGTCATGGGTTTGATCCCTGGTCAGGGAACTGAAACCCCACATGCTGCGTGGCAGGCCAAAAGCAAAAGCAGAATGCTCACTGTGGAGGAATGTGTAACAGAGGAAAAACGAGGGTCTGCACAGTCCTCTCCTCCAGAGATAAGCACTGCAGTGTTTGGTGTCCCTTCCATGGGGAGACGGTGGCTTTTTGAAAAAACTTTGCAGCAGAGTACACTTACTATGTCATCCGTCTTCTTGCTATCTCACTGGGATGTGTTAATTATTACGGGTTGACTAATATGAATTGCTCCCCAAATGGCTCAGTGGTAAAGAATCCGCCAGCCCATGCAAGAGTTGCAGGAGATGCAGGTTTGATCCCCAGGTCAGTAAGATCCCCTGGAGGAGGGAATGACACCGCACTCCAGTATTCTTACCTGGAGAATCCCATGGACAGAGGAGCCTGGCGAGCTACAGTCCGTGGGGTCGCAAAGAGTCGGACACAACTTAGCAACTGAGCACAAGCACGAAGCACTAATTAGGGGAAAGTCCTCGATTCATCATCTCTACCCACAAATCCATGGCAGCATCAGACCATTTGAGGTCCCAGGGACCAAGATAGGTTGGCTGTCCTTTCCATGGGAAGTGTTTTTCAATAGGTGGCCTCTGAATTGGTTGCTGTGACTACGCTTAAAGCTGTGATTAGCAAAGACTGTGGTTTACGTGTCCCTGGTTCTCAGATGATGGGCTTGTAGGGCTCAATTCCATTGGAAACTCAGAAGCACGCTCTATTTAGCTCGCTTGTCAGCATCTGTGACAGTGTACTGACCCACCCCCTTTCTCCTCGGAAAGTGGCCAGAGAGCCCCAGAGCTGGCAGCTGAGTCTGTAAATGACAAATATTCAGCTTTATTCCTGTGCCTTCCAGGGACAAGCACTGGCCAGAGCCAGTCACCCAGAAAAAGCCTCCTCCCCACTTCTGCTCAGTCTGTGTTCAGTTGCCAGATCTAGCAAATAAAAACTACAGAGCACCCAGTTAAATCTGAATTTCAAACAAATAACAAGTTTATGCCCTAATCGGGACATACTTATACCAGAAGTTATTTGTTGTTTATCTCAAGTCTAGATTTATGTGGGTGTCCTATGTTTGATTTGATTTCCACCTACCACAGACCCCAGGCGTTATCTGGCTATTCTCTGGAGAGTGGAACAGAGACCAGCCCTGTTGCTAAAACGTTTTCTCCTGTGGACAAGTGTTTGGGTCTTCAGGGGTCATTGCATGAGCACATGGTTGTCATTTAAAGATATAAAGCACTTCTGCCCTGAGTCCAGTAGGTGGCAGAATTCTTAAGGCTTTGCATTCTAAAAATCCAGACGTAAAAGAAAGACAAAGGGTCAGCGAGACTGGCCCTAAGGACCTCCTGATTCTGTTGGAGATTTCTCAAGAGGGAGATGAGGGTCTGAATTTTCTTCTTTTTTTTTGGGGGGGGGGTGTGTAGCTATCCATTGATGTTGTTGTTGCTGTTCAGTCACTAAGTCATGTCCGACTCTGCAACCCTATGGGCTGTATCACACCAGGCTCCTCTGTCCACGGGATTCTCCAGGCAAGAATACTGGAGTGGGTTGCCATTCCCTTCTCCAGGGAATTTTCCCAACCCAGGGGTCAAACCTTCATTTCCTGCATTGGCAGGGGATTCTTTACCACTGGGCCTCCTGGGAAGCCCAAGTCATTGATGTTGCTGTTCGGCTATTTGTTGTTCAGTTGCTAAGTCGTGTCTAACTCTTTGCGACCCCATGGACTGCAGCACCCCAGGCCTCCATATCCCTCACTATCTCCCAGAGTCTACCCAAGTTCGTGCCCATTGAATCAGTGATGCCTTCCAACCATCTCATCTTCTGTCACCCTCTTCTCCTTCTACCCTCAATCTTTCTTTCCCAGCATCAGGGTCTTTTCCAGTGAGTCAGATCTTCACATCAGGTGGCCAAATTATTGCAATATCAGCATCCTTTAATTAATTCAGAATATTTGAGGACCTACTTGACTCCAGGCAACAGGCTTGCAGACATTGCATAACCAGGACAGACAGGGTCCCTCCCCACCCTCTTGGATGTTTCATCCTGGTTGGGGGGTGACAGAGAAAAAGCAGGTAAATGCCTAAGAGAGTCAGGGAGGCCAGGGACAGCTGAGACTCCAGCCATCTGAAAGGAGGACCACTGGAAGTGGTGGGGAAGAACCTTCCAGTTCAAGGGGACAGGGGAACATTTGAGAAAAGAAGGCCTGGGCCAGAATGAGGAAGACAAGAGCAGTAGAGGGGAGGCCAAGGGAAGAGGCCAGGTGATTGTCCTCCTCCTGGGAGACCCCAGCTCCATCAAGTATAGATGTCATTTGTGATGGAGGGTGCCCTGGGGTGAGTTATGTCCCTCCAAATTTCATCCACCCAGAAGCCTAGATTGTGAGGCTACTTGGAAATAGGGTCTATACAGATGTAACTAGATGAGCTTACACTGGAGTCGGGTGGGCCCTAAATCCAGTGCCTGGTGTCCTAATAAGAGGCCCAGTGAAGATGCATAGGGAAGAGGCTTTGTAATGGTGGAGGCAGAAATTAGAGCGATTTGGCCACAGGCCAAGGACTGTGGTCACCAGAGGTTGGCCAAGGCTAGGACAGACCCTCCCCTGGAGCCTACAGAGAGAACCCTGTCATGCCCACACCCAGATTTCAGCCTTCTGGCCCCCATTGATGTGAGAGAACCAAGTTCCGTTGCTCAAAGCCCCCCAGTTCGATGAACTCTCTTGCAACAGCCCTAGGACCCGAACACAGCTTGGGGTTGTGGATCCTGGGAAAATGTCCTATTTGCCTGACACTCTAAGAAAAAGGTCTGTGTCACATCTGAAGCTTAATGGACTAACAGACTAACAACCGTGGTGCTGAAACACCCTGAGAACCTTGCTTCACAAGCAGCAGGGTTGACAAGAAAACCACTTGAGCCTTTAGCATCTGATGGGCCAGAGGTAGTCACACTGTGGGGCCCTTTCTTCATCTGGTGGATTTCATCTGGCTGCACCCGGGAATTTCAGTTAACTGGGAAGAGAGCCTCTGGAACCATGGCCACCAGTTATGAAAGATCCCAGATAAATGCCCTTCCAAGGTTAATGTTCCTGGCAGCAGCTGGGCTGGGACTCTGTTAAACCTGGTCTTAAATATTAATGTAAAAAAGATAACGCCTCCAGATAAGTGCTGCCTGGTGGAGCAAGGCGAACACCATGCCGCCGGCCCAACACATTATCAGTTGAACTGAGCCTGCAGCTGGGAAAAGATTTCATGTTTTCACCCATTTTTTTAAAAACGGTCCTCAACTCCTGCTATTTTTTTTTTAAAAAAAGGCACTGAATTTTAAAATCTCCACAGTCCCTGTGTCAGCTCCCCCTTCCCACATCCCCCTGGCTGCAGTGATGGAGGGTCCGGATGTGTGGCCTGAGACAGGGCAGCAGCTGTGGTCGCGGGCCCACATGGTGCCAGGTGGACACTGGACACTGGTTCAAGGACGCTCCTCTTCTGCCACACACGGCCCTGGGAAGGAACCCAAACTCCCCACTGGATCCCGCACACGCTGCCTCTGATTTTGGCCTGTACTCCTCTTCCTCCCGCTCAGGGTGCGCCTGCCTTTCATTCATTTCTCAGAGGAGCTCACTGCATCCCGCAGTCCTTGCACATCCTCAGTGTCCCCCAGAGGGTGCATCCTCCAGATTTTCACAGGGCCAGCTCCCTCCCGTCAGCACAACTTTGGCCTCAGAGAGACTTCCCCCACCACCTGGTCTAAACAGAAGCACAGTGAGTCACCCTCAAGCCCACTATCCTCTTACCTTGTTTTTGCGCGTCTGCATCCCACTGACAGCATGACCTTTGTCTGTTCTCAGCATCTAGAGCGGTCCAAACCTCTATAAGTACTGGCTGGCTGGTGTTTCCCAGTCTCAGTCTTAACCCGCTTTTCAGAACATTCTCCCTCTGGAAATGTCTCTTTCCTGCTGCTTCCTCAGCAGCAGGACTGGAAGCTGCGTCTGAGACTCTGATGCGGCCCGGAGGGCAGGGAGCCCTGGGCAACGAGCCTTGGCCATGAACTTCTGGCAGGGTTCAGGGTCCTGCCTGCCTGCAATTTTTGACTCTAGAGTGTGGCCTCTTACCACTAGCCTCTTACAGGAATCACAGACAGTATCTGATTTGTGGTCAAGCTCATCAAACAAACTTGCTCGTTTATTCACAGGAGGTCACTTCTGGGACAGTCAGAGAAAACTTCCTTGAAAAATCTGGGAAGCCAGGTGTGTCTTAAAGGATGGGTAGGAAGAAGGAGGAGGGGCAGGAGGAAAGACAGGTGAGGATTGGTGAGTGGACCAGTCTCAGGTGACAGGCAGGGCAGGTCTACCTTGAGCCGGTCCTGTATCAGTCCTAACACAGCACACACCACACAAAAGCTCAGAACAGCAGCTATTTATTTTCTCACGATCCGGAGCCCAGAAGTCCAAAAGCCAGGGGTCAGCAGGGCCACACTCCCTCTGAAGGCTCTCGGGAAAGATCCAACCTTGGCTTTTTTTATAATTTTAATTGGAGAATGGTTTCTTCACAATGTTGTGTTAGTTTCAGGTTTACAGCCAAGTGCATCAGTTATACACACGCACATATCCAGTCTCTTTTAGATTCTTTTCCCATATAGGTCATTACAGAGTACTGGGTAGGTTCCCTATGCTGTGTAATAGGTCCTTATTAATTACCTATTTTGTATATAGTAGTGTGTATATGTCAATCCCAATCGCCCAATTGGGAGTGGAAAACA